CCCCCTCCCTTCCCCCTCCGGGCGCTGGGCGGAGGGGGCGCGGCCGCGGTGGCCGGAGGGCGGCTGTCAGCTTGGCCGGGCAGGCCCGCGTCCCCAGTGCAGGCCCTGTCACCAGACCCGCTGCTCCCGCACCCCCGCCCCGCTCCAGTCCCCAGAGCCTCGTGCTCCGCCGTTTGCAGTGTCCTACAACTTGACCCAGTCCCTCTTGTGGGACAAATAGCACTCTGGCCTGAAATATTCCAACAGGAGGCTCCCAGAAATTGTCCTGTGTAGTTCAGAATCCTATAATCCCCAAACCCTAAAGCCACCTCTGGGGCTTTCCCACCTCTCCACTTGGGACGGGTAATGTGGTTGGAGTGAGCAATTCCACATACTTCTGAGCCTCAGGAGACTCAGGGGAGAGGGCAACATCGGATCGCTGCTCACCTTCACATGCACGCTGCACCTTTCTCCATGTTGCCCAGGCCAGGCCTTCTGTGATCCCCAGCCCCAAGCAGTGGCCCAACCACCTGTCCCACCACCCCACATGCTTAGGACTGTTCCTCTCTGGTACACTGCTGGGCCTAGAATCACAGCAGAAAATGTTCATCTCACTCAACACTAGTTAAATGTATCTACAAGGGAGCCTAGAAGGTGAAGGGAATGGGGGCTAGCAGTCAAAGGTGAGCCAGCAGGGACAAGAGAGTGCACCAGTTTTGCTTGGGTCACGGGTGGTATCTATGACCACCTGAACTCATAAACATCAGGTCTGACCAGCTGCAAATACAGGCAGCGCCTGTCAGCTGGCCCTCCAAGCAAGACAGTCCCTACAAGAGCACATGTGCATACAGAGACTTCCCATACCTCCCCTTGCCACTGATGATGGAGCCCACTACACTCGGCATCACTCCAGGAACAAATGCAACAACGATTCCGAGATGCTGCTGTTGAACACCAAACTGAGGGGTTTTAATCAGTTTCTCTTTATTTATTACATTTTCTCCTATGCATACATATACATACATACATACATGTTTGTGTACGTGTGTATATATTTACAGGAGAAAATTTAATCATGAATATATATGAATAGTGAATACACACACACACACACACACACACACACACCCCTTTGGTAATCAGGAAAAAAAGAAACGTCATAGAAAATACCCACCTAGCTCATGCACAAGAACATGTCTTCCTAGGGTCCATCCCCTTTCCAGAGCGCCCCTCTTTGTAGCACACACATCCCCCCTCCCCCCCATCTGCTGCCTCTGTCTTTCCCATGCCCATGGGCCTAGGCGAAGAATGCTTCTTTGGGCCTTCATTGCTAATGCTGCTGCTGGATGGAGAATCTAAGAAAATAACTTTTCTGTGGTTGTTTTTCTTTTGACCTTTTCATCCCCAGTGAAGGCAGGCAGGTTGCATCCCTTTTTCTGTCTTTTGCCCCTCCCTCCTATACCCTTTTGTTTGGTACCGAGAGAGACACTCAGCTATTTCTAGCCATAAGGATGGTTTTTACACATTTGTAAATCTTCACTTAGTGAAACGTTCCCTCCGCCTTTGTCTTTGTGTCCTTAATGGTAGCCATAAATTACCGCTTTCTTTTCTCTGCGCTGCATCAGGCTTCATTGCTTTTGAAATGATCAAAGTTATTTTCTTTTAAAATCCAACTAGAAACTGCCCATTGTGTGGCACAGACCTCTTTAGCTCCAGTCAAAGCATATAAATACATAAAGCTGCCCATTAAGTTCTATGGGATCCTCCTCCAGCCCCGTGTGCCTGGTAAAGAAATAAGACATGTGCTGTTCTTTCCCTTCATCTTTTCCTCCAAGTTCATGTTTCAGTAAGAATACAAATTAATTATGATAAGACCCAGTGCTTTTTTGCCTAAGAGGGTCAGTTTTTGTCATGTTTCCTGGAAAAGTTCACCACTGGCACAAATCTCAAAAAATGTTCTGAATTCTATTTTGTTTGCCCCGACTTCCATACAAATGTGCTTTCAGCTGGTTGGCTCCCAGACTCCTGGGCAATCTTTCTGACACTTCAGATTAAAGTCAGTATGGTTTACAACTGGAAATTTCCATAGGGGAAAGGCTCCAGGGCAAGTTTATATTCAAATGTCAATGTTTTCGGTGTTCCAATGTCGGGAGGGACTCGGTGGGCCCTGCACTAGCTGACGTCTGCCTTCTATTGTCCAGCTGAGGTCCCCACAAACTTCTCTGAGAGGCCACAGCCACTGTCCCTGGACTGAGGCTGAATCTGCCTCTTCCTCTCCCTCTCCTTTCCCTCAGGCTCAGGACCTGAGGGGAAAGAGAGCCCAATCAGCCCCACCACACTGGTGTAGGCTTCTGGCACGAGAGAGACTGTGGAGGCAGAAGACCCTGGGTGCCTCTGCACCATGGACGGCTAGGTTAAACTCTGTATTCACCAGACACCTTTCAGTGCCCATCTTTTTTGACTCCTCAGCAGGCTTTGGAAACTCTTTTTGGAAACTGTCCCTCCCCTGGATTTTCATCACAGCAGGCAAGCTCCTGGTTTTCCTCCTACCTCTCAGGAAATGCCTTCTCAATCATCTTCTTGGGATCCTCTTTCTACACCTCCTTCCTCCCTGATGGTTCACTCATTCCCTTGCTTCCATAATAGAAGTCTCCAGCTTGGGGCGCCTGGGTGGCTCAGTTGGTTAAGCGACTGCCTTCGGCTCAGGTCATGATCCTGGAGTCCCGGGATCGAGTCCCGCATCGGGCTCCCTGCTCAGCGGGGAGTCTGCTTCTCCCTCTGACCCTCCCCCCTCTCATGCTCTCTCTATCTCATTCTCTCTCTCTCAAATAAATAAATAAAATCTTAAAAAAAAAAAAGAAATCTCCAGCTTGGATCTCTTCCCATAGCTTCAGTTCTATGTATCCAATTACCTACTGGATACCTCCACCTTGATCTTGCACAGGTCTCTCAGATTCAAGATGTTCAAAACAGAGCTCATCTTCTCCCTCAAACCTTCTCCTTCCCAAGTGCTCCCTCTCTCTGAAAAGGGCACCACCATTCTGCCAACACCAAGTCAGAGACCCGGCAGTCATCCTGGACTCCATTCTCTCCCTACCACATCCAAACAATCATGTCAACTCTACCTTCTTATCATCTCTCAAAGCCATCCTCTCCCTCCATACAAGCTTCCAGAGCTCAGGGCCTCATCATCCCTCACCTGGTCTATTGCTCCTGGTCTGTGATTCTTTACTGGTATCCCTGTCTCCAACCTCACCCGCCTTCAGTGCATCTTTCACAGTGGCTGCCGGACTAAAATATAAATTTCATCACACCACTCCCAGTCTTCCTCAGGTGAAAGTTAAAACTCCCTTGATACAGCCACTCTGGAGAACTGTTGGGAAGTACCTACTAAAACAAAAATGTGCCTATCCACTTCTCGGTATAT